AGCATAGCTATAAATAGATTCCACATTTATTATAAATGTAAATTCTATATTATAAAATAAAGTTGTGACATGATCGTCAAAAAAAAAAAAAAAAAAAAAAAAATTTTGGTAATTATATAAATAGTTATACTTCTTTCTATAATTGTAAGATATCTGGATATATTTTATAATAGATTGCTTTATATTTTAAAACTTTTTATAATTAGATAGCATTATGAAATTTAAAGAATTATAACAGATATATTATTGTTTTTTTTTATAGTAATTTTTGGCAGTTGTAATACTTAGTTACACACTGTATATACTTGTACTAGCTATACTAGTTTTGATAGTTTTAATTTTTTATAATATTTAAAAACTTCTATATAGATATATTTAAAGCTTTATTGGGTTTTAATATATATATATTTCTATACTTTAGCTACTTTTTAGTAGGTAGTTTTATATAGCACTAGAGGTGTTTCAAATCTGGTAAGGCTAATTCTTTATTACAAATCTCTTTGTATTTACTACTTTTCTTACTATTTTGGTTCTAGTTACTAACTAGTTATTCTTTCAAATAAGATCCTAATATTGCTTTAAAGTTGTTAGTACTATCTATACTAATTAAAAATTTATATATATAACTTTTTGTATAATAGAACCTTTTGTAACAACTGCTATTATATATAATGCTAATTTCTCTACAATAAATTTTTTTCCAAAAATTTTTAATTTAAACTTTTACTTACTTAGACTTTCCATAGTAAGTATATTTAAAAATTTATAGAATCTGCATCTACTAGAACTTGAACTCAAAACCTGCTTATAAAGTATTAGATATTTAAACTACTAGACTATGAAATCTTAACCTTATATAAGTTAATTGTTTAAATATTATTTTGTTATATATAATAGTTAGTTAGCTAGTATTTAACTTTAAATTTTGGTTTATATAATATAAAAAATATTTATAATATAATTAGTAAACTTTTAGCCTAGCAATAGCAATTTTTTGTGGCCAAACAATTATTTTAATCTTTAGCTTACCAAAATAAACAATAGCCAATAGCTAGTGCTTGACACAATCAAACAAAAATTTGACAGTCAAATACTTGTTAATACTTGTGATTAAGTTGGACATCAAATGATTGCAGATTAATAAATAGTATATATTTAGCTTTGGTTAATCTGCAATCATTTGACATTTGATTTAAACATAAGTATTAACAAGTATTTGACTGTTAAATATTTGTTTGATTATGCCGAGCACTACCAATAGCTAATATCCAGACTTTGGCCAAAAGTTTTTTCTTATATAATATTAACCAATCATATTGCTAATTTTTCTATATAGATATTTGGCTATTTTGGCTAAAAAAATTGGTTGCCCAATTTAGCTAATAGTTATAGCTAATGATTATAGCCATTAGCCAACCAAATAGCCAAGTGACAATATTGCCTTAGCCATATTAGCCAGCTGATAGCTTTATATTAGCTATCTTAACCAGCTAAGCCAGCTTAGCTATAGCTGCTTTAGCTAGCTTAAAACATTAGTATAATATTCTTAATCATACTTATAATTATATTTATAATCATGCTTATATGTAATTATACTTAGTATAAAAAAATTTAAAAAAAATAAAAAACCAAATTTGTACAATTATTTGATTTTTGAAACTTCTTTTATAAATTTCTTTCTGTGTTTGTTAATATACCTTCTTGATATTCCCCAATTTTTTATTTTTTTTTTGTCAAATTTTTTACCAGGCTGATGAAATAATAATCAATAATCATCGAAAATTCTATAGACAGAGCTTAGTGACAACGTAAAATTGTGATTGGTTGGTTAGCGGTCAGGTTAAATGGATTTTAATAATATTAATATGAACTTTGTCTGTAGAATTTTCGATCATATATATATCAGTCGGCCGACATGTCACACAAAATTGATCTACTATAAATTTCTAATTTATATTAATAATAACTAACAAACGTTTTTGTATAAAAATTGGGTCTTTTCGTTAGTAATATATACTTTTTTTTAAAGAAAATTGTTCTACACCTTTTATATTATAAAATTATAGTTTATTCGGCTTTTTTAAAGCAACATTTTGTCAAATAATTGGTATTTTAAAATTAGTAACAAATTTCACTTCTTTTTCAAGATTATTTTCGAATATGCGGTTTGAGCAAATAAAAACTGGCTGAAAGGGTTAAGACGGTCAAGAACTTTAAGAAGATATATATTTTACTAGGGTTACTTTACAAATTTGAAAAAAAGTTACTTATAAAGAGAATCGTATATAAAGGGTAAGATTTACAAGTATAGCTGAACTTTATTCTTTTTCGTTCTACCCACTGCTATAATTTAATTCTTTTTATTATTAATTGTTCGTATCTAACAGCTATTAAAATATAAATTTTTTTAAATAATATATTATATTAGAAGCTTTTATAAGCGTTCTTTTAAGATTAATAAAATCGGGTTAAAAATTAAAAAATTGTAGAAGCCATGCTTGCAACAAACTGCCTCTACAAGAACTCTTCGCCAGGTGTTATTTATTAGTTGCTTATGATATATCTTCCATGCTTCGCTTTTTTTTACCTTGGGTAGCTTTTTTTCCAAGAAGCAAGGGTACCAAATCCTTTTTTGTTCGACCCTTTGCAATGCGTTTTTCTACTTTCAAAATGTCTTGTTTAATAATATCTGAGATTCTGAGTATTCCTTTATTATAACAGGTAAACATGCGCTCATATCCTTCAGGTGTTAGTTGATTAGCAATCTCAAAAAGCGGATGTTTTTCGGGTTCATTACATTCGATAGCTTCGGTGAGTGTATTTACAAGCTTCCATAATGCTTTTTTGCGATCAAACTCTGCATTTGTGGTTTTACTTATACAATTATCAGTTACAAATTCTGCATGTAAAGCTAACAACCGATCCCTTTCATTTTGAGCTGCCTTAATTACCAATTTTAAATTATCTAGATCTGTTGGACGCCCGGTCATGTTTTGTTTAACAAATTTTACACCGAAGCACTCTAGTGCTTCATCATATGCAAAAAAATATTCATCTGCCGTAAGATTTACGGACCCAACTATCTGAAGTTTTGCTTTTAGAGTTGGGTTTGTTTCTACTGTCATTAAAAAACGTGGTACTGATACTGCATATCTGCTTTTTCCAGTAATGGGAAATAATGGTGCAAAAGCTTTCAAGTGTTCATGTTGAACCTCGAAATTACCCATTCGAATGCCAATTTTATGAAGCTTAAGGTAACTTGCCCATTTATAATATAAGGTCCAAACTTTCAAAATATTATTATTTCCATTTTCAATATCTGCTAATGTTATACAATGTTTATCCATATACATATGTACAACAATAGCTACGGCTGCCCAGATAAGCTCAAGAACGCGAAATGTTGCTCTATAATCTACAACATCCTGAAGCTTTTCTAAGTACTTCGTGCCAAGTGTAGATGCTAATCCAAATAACCCATATCCAGAGAAGGCAACAATTAAAGCGCTGCACATGTCTTTGCTCGTGTGCCACTGACCAAGAATGGGATTTAATTTTAGTTGAGAATTAGAAAAATCTGTAAGTCTTCGAAAAATTGCTTCATCACAAGCAATGTCCAAAGATTCTCCTTGATTTAATTCTAAGTCCTCTATATACATTTCACAGGCTTTATGCGCTGCAAGGTTTGTACTTGGTGCTGGTCCAGCTTCTAAAATGACAACATTTGGTGGAGGAACTTTACATCCCTTTCCCACTGCTTCTTTAAGCGCAAAATTTATTTCGCTCATACCAAATTCCATTGGATGTTCTATTATTAACTGGTTGAAGATTTGAGTAAGTTTTATTATCCACTGCTCTGTGAATTGATTGCTTCCACACAGATTATCAGCAGAAATATTGGAATTTAAAGGTTGTATTTCAATATTAGGCATTTCAAACTGAAAAACCATACGTAAGGTAGCATGAGCGGTATCTCGTGTATCGTCATAAATGTTACCAGCTCTGAATGTCTTTTCTTTGAAATCTATATTGTCTATTACCGCCAAGTTCCAAATATTTGATCCAAATTTTAGTCTTTTTCGTGCATCTGTTTCTAGCATACGATTTCTTCGAACCTTCACCTCATAATCTTTTGAGTATGCTACTACATTTGCGGCACGAAGAATAGCACGCAAATATGATGCAAGCTTGGGCCGTTCACAAAAAGATCCAACTATTTGTGGAAGCCAAAATTTCCAGCTTCTGAACGCATGTGCTAAAATGACGGAGGAAAGAAAAGATGTACTTTTTACTATTTCACTTCTGTCTAGCTCAGTTACTTTTTTTTTGCGTTCTTCTTGTTTTCGTTTAACTATCTCATGATTTTTAAGTTGCAAAGTGAGAACTATACCATCAAAGAAGCTTGTTAAACACTTCGGCATTGCTTCATAATATTGTTGTAAAGACTCGGGACTCTCTAATGCCTCCTTATGGGAAGATAAACTAGCGCGTGACTTTAAAATTTCAAGGGCAAGTGATTTTCCAAATTCTTCACATTTTTTAGGCTTCAATGTGAATTGTTTTAAATGTTTAGAAAAATCTAACTTTTTGACCTTGAAAGCTATATTAACTACAAACAAGCTAGGTAATTTATTTATTTGCGCAGGTGATGAATTCAAATCAAAGTTTTTTAGACACGGATTCAGAACTTGAAGTAAATGTTTTTTTACATTGTCATCTTCTGACTCTGCCACAATCTCAATTAGCTTTGCAAAACGTTGAAGAGCAGTTGTAATATCATCCGAATGTTTTGCAATACATCCCATATCTACAATATTTCCCGAACCATGGCGTACGTGCAAATGCCCTCCATTCTTTTCATAACACTGGCAACACACAAAGCGAACTCCCCGTGAATTCTCCGTATTTTCTGTGTCTGTGCTATTTTTAATAGCTGGGCAAAGAACCATTCCACGACAAGGTACTTGTATTGTCTGATTGTGCACAATCCAAGTATGTTCTAAACAACTTACTCCACGACTAAAAAAGACCTTTTTTTTGTGACAGAAAAAGCAGATACGAGAATTGAATTGACTTCTATCAGTTGGACGTTCGCTTTTTAAATTTTTTCTGTGTACAGTATTTTGATCGTAATTAAAATGCCTTGAACAGACTCCAAGAAGGTGAAGTTGTCTATTAACTTCTTCAACAGCATTTGCGTCAATTTCCCAAACACCAACAAGTTCCTGTAATCTTTTATTGCTGATTCTATTGCAGCGACGTATCTCCCCATAATCATTATCAATTATGACACACAATGTAGTGGGCTTTTGTGTAGTTGCGGGGATTTCTTCACTATATTCACTGCTAACTTCTTCAATTTCCTCAATTTCCTCGTAGCTAATATCTGGCACATCTTCAGCATTAAGCTCTTTCCATGGATCGTCTTCATGCTCTGTTAAATCTAAAGCTTGCCCATACAAGTTTTGTTCGAAATTAAACAGAGGATCATCATCATAGTCACCCTCATTATCCAGAGTCTGAACGTCTGTTAAAAACTCTTGTAATTCATCCTGGTTACGATGAAGAAGCAAATCGTGTGAGAGATTAGTGCTCATTTTTTTGATGATGCAAGTTAAAACAGGTAAAGGTATTTGTACTTTTTAATATGATGTGTTTTTAATTAATTTGTCAGTTATTAATTTGTTTGTTAAAATCAAAATTGGCGAAAATTGGCGCCTTTTATTGATTCGAGAGAATTACATTTTCTGTTTGATAAGAATTTCGACAGTGTATTTACCAAAGTTAAATTTCTAATTTTGAAAATAACCCAATGAAGAATTTCAACGAAGTCAATGGGTCAATGAAGAATTTCAACGAAGTCAATGAGTCAATGAAGGATTTCAACGAAGTCAATGGGTCAATGAAACTCAATGGAAACTAATTCATTGAGATCTCCATTAATTTTTTTTCTAATGGATAGTAAAATTACCAACAATGACGCGTGGAACTATTTTTATCAAGCCTTTCAGGTACGAAAGAGAAATATACTTATAATTCGGCCGAATTGGTTTTATAATATGTTTACCTTTATTTATTATTAATTATCGCATGATACTGTTCATTAAATATTTATCCTTTCTATTAATTCAAAAAACAATGATCTAGTGTCATATTTTATTTAATGTTATTAATTACAAAAATAAAGTCGAACGAATAATATGTATACATATCAATATTAAAAAAAAATAAAATAAAAAAAATATTAAATTATAAAGAACTGGCCCGCCCAACAAATCACACAATGTTACAAAAACCGGAAAGAAAAAGTAATCAAAATTTTTGCACAAATGCTTTTTTCAAAAATTTCGCCAGACCTAAAGAATTAATAAATTAATAAGTACTAGTGCTCGAACCATATCATAAGTGCTGACTAGTATACCTCCATAATTTACATCCCATATGATTATTATACAGTAAAACCCCCATAAGTGCGCCCTCTATAAGTGCACACCCTTTCTAAATGCACATTCAAGTTCTGGCCCAAATATATAAATGCCCCTATAAATGCATTTCTCTTATTGATCTCTAAGTGCACGTTGTTAAAGCTTGATCCCAAGAGCGTGCACTTATAGAGGTTTTACTGTACATACAGTACAATGCTCCAAAAACCTTGAAGATTAGCAGATCTAAGTGAAATAGAGCCGGGTATGTCGCTTCCCTTTGTAAGTAGTCAGGAATACTTTAAAGCCTAACAGAAGTCCGAAATCTTGTTGTTCACGTACTTGCGGCATTGATCTTTACAGTAAGACAGTAATGAACACGTTCAGAAATCTTATCAACGATCTGTAAAAGGTGCGGCAGAATATAAAAAGTATTAGTATAATTCGCATTCAAACACTAACTTCGGGCTCAAGATTATTTTTAACTTTGTTTTTAACTATAGACAAAATTTATACGGCCGTTAGTAGAAAACTACAGGAATGTTATATCTGAAAAAGAACTATGTGCGACATTTCAGTAGCCTATAAACTTAAAAAAATCTCAAGTTTTATAAATTTTTACTAGTAAATTTGATTTGCAAATCGATTTTTTTTTATAAGTGTGCAAATGTAGGATGATTATCTACGACATGTCGGCTGACTGTTAGTTATAGTTAATTATATTTAGTATAGAAGAGATTCTATTGGGTAAAATAATATAGCACAGCGGCTAAGTAAAATAGTACATGCTACAAAGTGCCTCTAAGTGCTTCTACACAAAGTACCTCCGAGTGCCTCTATACAAAATGCCTCCAAGTGCCTTTACACAAAGTACCACTAAGTACCTCTATACAAAGTGCCTCTGAGTACCTCTACACAGTATAGCAATTATATCATTACACTTCTATCTGTAGAAAAGTTATAAAAAGAGAACCTTTGCCCCTTTTGCCCAAGTTGAAGTTCACTACCCTCTCATAGAATCTAGCCCCACCCTTTTACCCTTCTCTACTTGTAAAGTGTAATATTCTCCCTCTAGGGTAATTTCTACAGACAAGGTTATCACCATGAACCTGTTATTAATAAATATTATTATTTATAAACTGTTATTATCTCAAACTATTTGCCTCCTGCTGTGAAGTTAAAGTATACACTTTATGTCCACCCATGTATATTCATAAAGTATATTACTGTACCAGGTGACTTTGTTACTTTGCTATATTAATACTAAAAAAGCTATAGCATTGTAACAGTACAAATATGCTTACTTGGGAAAAAATAAAAAATCTTCGAGATAAAAAGGGAGCAGGTAGAAAACCAAAATGGTTTGCCAACTTAGAAAACAAGATTATGGCCAATCAAGAATCTCGTATAATCAAAATAGATGATCAGATAGATTCAAACTATTAGGCAATCAAACCAATATTATAACAAATTATATCAGACAAACGAAAACACAATATGATAGTTTTTGAGAATGGTAAAAAAAGCCCACAATATGGAAAGATCATAGCCCAAAACAAAACAAATAGGTGCTTTACGATTGAACATTAGGAAGAAAAGCCTAGCAATTACAAAAAGAAGGTGAAGCTCGAAAAATGCAAAGGCTATTATCAAAATCAAAGCAGCGAGAAAGAAAACTACACCCTAGTCAAAAAGTTTAAAAATAAAGTACTGTTACAATGCTATAGCCTTCTTAGTGTAAATATAGCAAAGTAACAAGATCACCCGGTGTAGTAATATACTTTATAAATATACACGGGGTGGACGTGAAGTGTATACTTTAACTTCATAGCAGGAGGCAAATGGTTTGAGATTATAACAGTTTATAGATAATAATATTTATTTATAATAAATTCATGATGATAATCTTGCCTGTAGGAATTACTCTAGAGGGGGAATATCACACTTTACAAATAGAGAAAGGTAAAGAGGTAGGGCTAGATTCTATGAGAGGGTAGTGAACTCTAGCTTGGATAGAAGGGGCAAAGGCTCTCTTTTTATAGCTTTTCTACAGATAGAAGTGTAATGGTATAATTGCTATACCGTGTAGAGGTACTTAGAGGCACTTTGTG